CAGGAAAATCATATGACAATGATGCAACAAAAACTATATGGCATACTTGTAGGACTATACAAATGTGACTGGGATTTACTGGAGGAAAATGTAAACCAGACTTGAGTAACTGATGAAGTAGTCAGAAGTGTATGTTCATGAGCCAAGGAAAAAATGAGTCTACCCCCCTCCTCTCCCCTGCCTTCCTTGCAGACTCCTGCCACAGATCCAGCCCGCAGCATGTACTGATGACATACCTGTATTTACCTGACGGTCACCATCTGTAGAAGCCATGATGAGGCCAGAAAGTCTGTCCTTACATTTAAACCTACAAATGCGCATATCAATCAAGGAAGATTGTGCCATTTCTAACCCCCCATTGCATGAGTCAGTAAAGGCCAATTTAAAGTATAACATAAGATTTAAAAGTCCCACATATACAAAGGGCTCATATTTGCTTTGTTGGGTCTCCAGTTAACAGATGCCGTCATGGAAAAAATAGTGGCATACCCCAAGGGGAGCTGGTTGGCCGAGCGGACAGCACACTGGACTTGTGAGCCTGTGGTCCCGGGTTTGATCCTGGGCGCCAGCGAGAAACATTGGGCAGAGTTTCTTTCACCCTATGCCCCTGTTACCTAGCAGTAAAATAGGTACCTGGGTGTTAGTCAGCTGTCACAGGCTGCTTCCTGGGGGTGGAGGCCTGGTCGAGGACCGGGCCGCGGGGACACTTAAGCCCCGAAATCATCTCAAGATAACCCCTGGGTGAGAAGCCTCAGTATTGAGAGAGCGACCCTGAGTGGCATATGGAGCAGGAGTTCGCAGCACTGCCATGCAGCCTGTGCCTACAGTATCACTTAATAATGAGGAAATAAGTAACTGCAGTTATTTTGTGCTAGTGTCAGAGAAGATCCCGACTGTGATAAAGAATATGTACAATATTCAGATATCAGTAAACACAATGTTGGATATGATGGTCACAACATGAGGCAGACATCCACAGCACACAGCCGTGGTTTCATATATCTACACATCACAAAACAGGACCTCGTGTTTCTTTAGAAAATAAACTCGTGGAAAAGGATTCATATTCATGATTTAGTGCCCAGGATTCTGATAATAATAGCATTGGTGTGGCTAGAGTTAGTTGTGTTCAGTATATTGGGAGGCATTTTTCTGAGTCAGGAGGCATCAGCAACTTGCTAGCATGTTGGGCTACTGTGCTTGCATTACCATATTACCTCACATAATAAATGTAATGGATAAAATCCAGAGATTGAGAACGGGGAACAGGACTACTGAGAATGACAAAGAAGTGTGTAAAATGCTAAATTAACAGTTCCAAAAGTGTGTTTGTACAAAATGAGGATTTCAGAGAGCCGGACCCAGTACCAATTCCAGAGCATGTCATAGAATACATAGATGTATCTCAAGACGAAGTGAAAAATTACTCAAGAGGCTAGAGGCTAGAATGAGAAATCAGTTGAACCTGATAGTTTCATGAGAGGATAATACACATGAGAGGATGTGCAGTGACTAAATATATCTAACATATTTAGAATATATCTAACATATTCAGAGATTTGAGAAGGGGTCCATCCTTCCATTGGACCCACAGCACGGTGAGGGAGATCTCGGCGGTATGAAGTCTCTTCAAAGGGTTCAGGTCACTCGCAGATCGACAATCCGGCTCCATTTGGACTGCTTCCTGGTGGTTCATTGCCTGACCTGAGTGGGGTTCAATGCATTCCTTGACTCTTTGGGGCTGGTTGCTTTGGGTGACTCGTCTGCTGCGTTTTCAGGGTTTGGCTCTCCTGGTCGTTCACATTCGGGGGGGGGGGGGGGGGGGGGGTGTCCAATGTCCTGGGGGATAGCCTGTCCCAGTTCATTCCGCTGTCCTTAGAATTGACGGTCGTCGCCAACTCATTCAGTTGTCTCTGCCGGACGTACTGGCTCCCGGACGTGGACCTCTTCGTGTTGGAGTGATCGAGGTATTTCCCAGTATATGTGGCGCCCTTTCCCCAACTGTGAAGCCGTCGGGATCAATGGTTTTCGGCAGGACTGGTCGAGGTGGGGTTACTTGTATTTCTTTCCCCTGGTTCCACTGTTACTCCAGGTCCTAGCTCGCTTGGAGACTTACCAGGGGAGAGTCGTTCTCTTGGCTCCTTGGTGGCTGGCCCAGCCTTGATTTCAGGTGCTGCTTGCTCGGTGTCTAAACCCAGGGGTTTTCTCGCGGCTCCGTCTCTTTCAAATGATCGGTCCAGTCCATTACGTGGCTAGTTCGATTTTCTCGAGTCCTCACGTTTGGAATTTTTTACTCGAGTCTGTCACGTCTGTATGGTGATCAGGTGGCTTCATTGTTGGCGTCCCACCTGCGTGCTTCGTCTCGGTGGCAGTATGAAGTTTCCTGGAGATTCTTCTGTTTCCTTTTGTCTCTTCGTCAGTTTACTTTGCTTTCTGTTCAGGTGGTCTTGTCCTTCTCTTGTGGCTGTTTCAGGACTGTCATCTTATGCCGAATAGTGTCGCCTCGTTTCGTGCGGTGCTGGCGGAGCCGCTGCAGCTTGCTTTCATCATCGATGCTACTTCTGCATCGTTTCACAAGTTCTCTCGGGCATTGTTTCACTTCCGGCCTGCTCATGCGCCGCCTGAGCCGTCCAGGTCATGGACTGGATGCTGTCTTTTCCATCTTCCCCTCAATTTGTTGTGGCCCTTTCGGTTCAAGATTATTTTGCAAAGGCTCTCTTCCTATTGGTATTGGGCTCTGGAGGTTGTGTTGGGGAGATTAATGCTTTTCTCTGGCACAGAGGTTTCTGCTCTTTTGGTCTTGGTGGTAGGTTTGTTTGGTTGCAGCCATCTCCTTCTTTTCTGGCGAAGAATGTGACAGCTGCTTTCTCAAGGGGTCCTTGGGTTGTTGATGCTTGGTTGGTCAGGCTGGGGGTGCATCATGTGTTGTTTCCGGTTGCGATTCTTCGCCGTTAATTGTGCGCCAGGAATGCGCTTTGGGTTGATCCGTTTTTTTTCTTCCCTGTTCCATGGTTTGGGTTTCCCATGTTGTCTGCAGGGTTATTCGGTCTAGCTAGCCTGCAGTCTATCCCTGTGCCCACGACGTTCGCAAGTTTGCTGCTCTTGCTGCTGTCTTCGGTAACATGTCTTGGGCTGACACTGGGGCACAGGATTTTTGGCGGTCGAACAGGGTCCTGGCTGCGCATTACCTAGTTTATGTTCCTGGGCCTGGTCGGGCCTGTGTCGCTTTGGGTCAGTGGTTGCAGCCAGTTGTCTTGACTTCACATTGAGGAGCGAGCAACGATTGTCTCCCGGGTAAGTCCCTCTTGTTTTCATCTTTTGATAAGTAAAATTTTAAGTTCACTACACACCTATCAATCAAACATCAATCCCCTGTTTACTCCATCAATATGCCCATATGTAGCACAGTTAAGTCACAGACAAAAGCTCCTACGTTCAATTTGCTCAGTAAGACTAAAGCGGTTGGGCAATATTTCCTTTTATCTGATGCCTCTGTTTACCTACTGGTAAATAGGTACCCGAGAATTATGCAACTGTTGTGGGTTGCATCCTGGGGAAGGTCAGTACTGTAGTTGAATTGGAGGACCTCGATAACCCAAACAGCCTTCCTGTTCCTGACTGTGAGAACCCATAAGGTGAACCAACACACCCATCAGCACTCATCCTCCCACCCTCCAGCCCTCCCCACCCACATCCTCCCACCCAATGACCCTCCCCCACTCACATCCTCCCCTCCCCCACATCCACCCACCCAATGACCCTCCCCCACCCCCATCCAGCCACAAAATGACCCTCTCCCATCCCCATCCACCCACACCCATTCTCTTATGTTCGAATTTCAATATACTGTATGTGCACAGACTGATTTTGTTTTGTTTTTATGAATACAGTGCTGTATTCATAATTTTATTTGACTATTGAAATATTATATCTGGCATAGCAACCAGAGATACCTCTCTTAATTGACTGGGATGGAAATATATCTAGTGTATAATATATAAATTAAGAAATGTATCTAGAAATATATATTAAAATTGTTTCACTCTGAAGTAGCCTATGGTCTGAGGCTTTTCATGGTGAGCAAGTTGCTTGGTCAATCAGATTAACCTTTAGATAGCTGCTATGGAAAAATGGCCATGACTACCTGTGCACAAAACTGTGTCAGTTGATTGACAGTTGAGAGGCGAGACTAAAGAGCTGAAGCTCAATCCCCGCAAGCACAGCTAGGCAAGTATAAAAGATAAAAAGAAAAGGATTTTTTTTCATTATAGAATTATTAATTTGTATGCAAAATGTAAAAAAAAAAAAGAAAATGAATATCGTTTCACTGAGTGGAGGCACTCGGCAAGACTGCTTCTGGCACTTGTCAAAACCCGGTGCTCGACTTTGTTGACGCTATCTGTTTTATCCTTCGATATTTCACTGATTCATTGATTGTTTTATCACTTGTTTTGTTTTTCTTTATTTACATCTACAGAGAGTTGTTATATCCATATTGGCATCATTCATGTAAAACCCAGACAATAATTGTTTAAATCGTCATATGACGATGACCACATTCCTCTAGTATCGTTCATGATGATAACCGCATTCGTACCATGAAATGTTAGTCGAATTTATTTCACGGGTCAAGGTACAGTCCATTACATCCATATTTGCATTATACAAGAAAAACCCAGACAATAATTATTTAAGTCGTCTTTTGATAACCACAGTGCCAATAGACAATAGTCTATTGGCACTGTGGTTAGTGCCAATATCGTCTATTGGATGGTCAATAGACGATAACCACTGCCTAAGAGTTAAGCATCATTTGATCTGTCTATCACGTGTATGGTTGTCTGTGTTGTCTCACCCTTGGCTGTGGGGAAGGGTTTTTTGCAAGCCATGCAGAGACCTCATGTTCCTGACAGTATACCCATACCTACACGAGGCCCATTATTATGTTAAATTTGCATTCTGCACATTTACAATGGTTAAAAAATTATTTTTATTTGCAGGTTTTTGGTGTTTTCAATATGCTGACTTATGCCATTGGCTCCTTCTACTTGTACCGTGACTGGAAGGACTCGCATCCGCACTCATCCTTCTCTGGCCCTGTTCTGAAGCGTAACCCATAAACTTGGGGCTAGTTGTTGGAGATCTCCTCAGTCATTCAAGAAGCCCCAGTTATTAACTATGGAGCAACTTGTTCTTACCAAGTGCAAACTCTCACCCATTCATGTCACAATTCTGCTCACGTTACAGCTTTACTTTTGAAATTATCTCAAACTGTAAATGGATGTAATTTCCTTACAAGAATTTGAATTATACCAACAAGAAGGAACAAGTGTAATGATCTTCAATGGTATTATGGAAGTTACTTGAGCTTATTTTGATCTCCATATTCATGTGTATGAACTTCTCAGCCTAAAACTATATTTAGGGATGCCATACTACATGTTCTTAAGTCTTGTCCTCATTTGGGGCAGAGCCGCTCAGTTGTTTGTTTAGGTGAGCTTGAGTCAACGCAGCAGCCTATGGGACTCAATAAGTGTCTATACACTTGCCCTCTTGTTATGGCTCAGAATTTGACTTACTTGGCCCAGATCCCTAAAACAGTACAAGCCTTTTTTAGAAGCCATATACAGTTCATTTTTGTATTGGCAAAAAGCTTTCATATATATATTGTTTTGCTTTATCCATAGATTGAAGATTAACCAATCCCTAGTCGACTCAAAAGATGTTTATAAACTGAATTATCTCTTTGAAGTTCAAAAAATGTATTAAAATTATATAAATTTTTACTAATACACTGCCCCTGATTTTGAATGATTAAAAAAAGAAAAGAATATGGAATAGATGATGCCCCTGTTGAAAAAAAGTATACTTTGTACTATATTATAGTCACTTGGGGCTTGTAAAGATTAATAAGAATAACAGTAGTAAATAGTCAAGTTCTTATATTATGACTTCATTTAGGCTTTAATGTATATTTAACAGGATAAATAATAATTAAAATGTAATTTAATATATTTTCTCGACTACTCACACTAGCACATCGTCAATATTATCTTCTCCCCAATTACAAACAGGTAAGTCATGCTCTCACATTTGGTGGAGAACACACACTATTGTAGCTGTGTGTGTGTGATAGATAGATATATATATATATATATATATATATATATATATATATATATATATATATATATATATATATATATATATATATATATATATATATATATATATACTGTATATATATATATATATATTATGTATATACTATATATACAGTTTATATACATACATATATACACACATACAGTACATACATTTGTATCAGGCAAAGCTTGACAACCTACAAAATGTTTGTGTTTGGAGAGAAGATAATTTGGGTATTAAATATCTTATATCTATATTCATATTTTTATGAGATATAGAATTAATGTCTATGTTAGTTTACATATTAATGCAATATCATTAAAAGATATAACTTTAGAGAAATACAAACTGTTTACAAGAGAAAGAGAGAATAGATTTTGATATACTGGTATATATTTTGTTTAAAATCTATCTGTTTTTACTGAAACACAGTGTGGCTGGTGTAAGATCAGGGGTTTCAACGCTAGCCTGTTAACGAATCCTGCGTGTCAGGTCATTTTGTAATATTATACAGTGTTGTGTATAAATAATCAGCTCCATCCCTTTGTACCTTCTTGCAAATCAATTATTATTATTATTATATGTACTCCTAGAATGCTTGGAGAATTTTAGGACCAGGAATTATCACTGCCATGTGCTGTGTTGCCCATCCTTTGTCACTACCTGTAGACAACATGCGGTTTAGAGGATCATGGCGACTGCTGTTAGTTAAACAGCTCTGTTAATAAACATACAATAGCACAGTAAATTGATATACATTCAATTTTTCAACATTGACAAAATAAAGTCTTGGTTTCTTGTGTTAGTTAATGATATGTAAACACAGGCATTTAAGAATTGATTCCCTTATATTTGGCATTTTTTAATTAAATATAAATGAACATACAGTAAAAAAAATGATAAAATAACTAGGATAACACATGCTGTATTCAGAATTGCTCTGATCCCATTTTAGCTTGATGACAAGATTCATCCATTTGTATTGTGTACAAGGTGCCACCTCCAATATTATCATTTATTGAGTGTTATGTGAAATGTTGCCCTCTCGATAATAACCATCTAATGCATGTATCTTAATAATAAATTATTTGTGTAGACTACAAATTAAAGATCTAACAGGCTGGTATTTTTTGATGAACATGTTAAAAACTTTTTTGGATATGATGGTAGACAGAAATTTAGATTTTATAATCTATTTGTAGGGAATACTGCATCTCAGTCAAGAAGTGTGGCCACTCACCAGTCCATCCCTTCCCAGTTGTACTGCATTGTGTCTGGTGTCTACAGTGATATGATCAAATCTATTTGTAAATTTATTTTTTACTTTGCATATTGTTATTTTTGCAACACTGATAACTATTACTTTCATTCAGTAATAACAAACAGGGAAAATTCACACTAGCTTATGTTTAGAATTTGTTATTACCGGGTAATATGTACTATGTTGCGTGTATCTTTGAGCTGACATGTATCCTTTGCATATGAATCCAAGTAACAGTTGGCTCATAAGTTTGAATCAAATGTGTTTGTCTCCTTTGTAAATATTTTCTCTCACTTAATACTGACTTTATTCATATTTGGACCTTTGCATTTGTCAAGCATAATTTAATACACTTAATACTGTATATTGTATATTGAGAAATAAAATAATAATGTAAAAATAATGAAGCACAGTGTATATGATATAATCCAATACTGTATATTACATTGAAGGAGAATCTGGCCAATTTGCTGCTACCATATTTAATGTCTACAACATAAATCACAGTAATGAAGGGATTATATCTGTCACTGCAGGAGTCATATCTGTCAAGCTGTTGCTTATAATGTAATTGTTAAAATCTTGTAGCAAGAAAGGCCAAAAAATTATGAAGCATGGATAGTTTGTTTGTAAGTTGTGCTTTTAAAATAATTCTTCAAATTATTTACTTGTGTTTATTGCTTGGAGATATTCAATAAAGAGGATTTTGTAATAAGCAGCCTTTGCCTACACATTTTAACACAGTATTGCACTATTTATGAGCTGCAAGTAACTGCCTGCTAATTTACAAGGTAAATGTACAACAGCTTGTACACTTATTTTGATGTGCCATAATTTGCATAAGACAACGACTTGGGAAATGCTGAATTTAAATTATCATAACAAAACCAAATTGTACATTAAAAAGGTAGAGAAAGATCTATACCAATGAGAATGATCAAATGCAAGGGCAATCATATGGCTTTTAGGTATACATTTATACAATAACAATTCCTACAATAAATAGTTACATTATATTGGCAGAAAACATTTATATTGAATACACTTTATTGGTTATTCTGTGAGCTGTCTATACATTTTGCTAAGCAGCCCATCTTCCAAAGGTTTCCCAACGTCAAGAAACTATCGTACTAAAGTGTCCTTTCCTAACCTACCAGAGGACCCCAAACAGAAAATGGGACAGTATATCAATTTTGCAAGCTGTTATCATTTTCTAATATGGCAATTTTTGGCCATAGGTAAAGTATGCAACAAAATGTGACACTCTTTTAGGAGGACGGGTTGCGCTAAGTACAGTAAGAAAGGTAACGGAAGGAAAGATGTCGGGCAGTGAACCAGTCATTGAAGTGGCCAAGTATTCAGATAAGTTCTTGTGTGTCTTAATACACTAGTCCTCCAGACTGCATATGAATTATATTCCTGGAAAAATGTGAGCAAATTAAAACTGTATAAACCAAACTTAAGTACAGTTTATGGGAAAGGTAGGGTTGTGTTCCAGAGATCTCTACAAGACCATTTTCCCCATTCTCGCAATAAAATACTTATTTGAACATTATTACTAATACCTTAACACTTTCCAGTCAGAATGAAGTATAAAATACATAGGAGTACCCAGATGCTGTTGGGTAAGTTTGTGGAAGCCCAACCCATGGATCATTTGGTAATCCATGCTGATTCCAAAAGCATTATGCTCTTAATGGAAAAGAATATCTCTTACTGTTTTACATATTTGTATTACTATACAAATATGCTTACATGTAATATGCTTACATTGAGAGGAACAAGTCTATTCTCTCTGGGAGATCATTTACATATATCAGAAACAGTATAGGTCCAAGGATTCGGTCCGTCTAATTACCACAAGCTACACAAGCTTCAGAAAGCTTCCTGGCAATACGTTAGTAATGAATAAATATGATATATTTACTCATTATAATGGTGCTGAATGTACAACACGAAAAAACATAATTTTAATCTGAAAAAGTATCTTTTTATAAAGAAATTAGACGAAAATAAAAAGATGGTGACGCCAAATCAAGTCGAAGATCCAAGCTTCGGTTAGGTTAGGTTAGGTTTGGTTTAGTTAGGTTAGGTTAGGTTTGGTTTAGTTAGGTTAGGTTAGGTTAGGTTAGGATAGGTTAGGATAGGTTAGGTCAGCCTAACTTAACATATCATATTTATTCATTACTAACGTATTGCCAGGAAGCTTTCTGAAGCTTGTGTAGCTTGTGGTAGCTTGTGGTAATTAGACGGACCCCAAGGATTGATCCCTGTGGGACTCCACTGGTTATGCTTCGTCACTCTGAGACCTTCCCCCCTCACAGTGACTGTCTTCTGTTGCTTAGGTACTCCTCTATCTGGTGGAGTATCTTCCCTTTCACTCCCACCTGCATCTCCAGCTTGTGCACTAGTCTCTCATGTGATACTGTGTCAAAAGCTTTCTGGCAATCCAAAAATATGCAGTCTGCCCAGCTCTCTCTATCTTGCCTGGTCATAGAATTCAATTAATCCTGTGAGGCATAATTTGCCATCCCTGAACCCATGCTGATGTTGTGTTAGAAAGTTCTTTTGCTCCAGATGTTCCACTAGTTTTTTTTTTCACAAGTGCTACATAGCTTTCCCAACTTGGTGCCTTCTTTTGATAATTACTTACTTTTTTTTTTGCACAATCTTCTCCATCACCTTGCATGGTATGCAAGTTAGGTACACTGGCCTGTAGTTCAATGCCTCCTGTCTATCACCCTTGTATATTGGGACTACATTGGCCATCTTCCAAATTTTTGGCAGTTCACCTGTTACCAGTGATTTGTTGTACACCATAGATAGTGGCAGGCACAGAACTTCTGCTCCTTCCTTTAGTATCCATGGTGAGATTCCATCCGGGCCTATAGCCTTTGTTACATTGCTGTATCTTTGTCACAAAATTCGTCAGTGAAACACTTGTTCTGGAAGTGTTCCAACAAAATCAGTTGTGAGTCGTGTGTAAACCGTTTTTCATTCATAAACAGGGGGCAAGGGGTTTGGCAGGTGCATGGAATCACTTTTGGGTCTTTGTTTGGAGGACGGCTGATTATAATACGAATTTATATTTGAGAAAATTCCTGTTTTGAATGAACAGCATATAAAAATCGACCAATGGATGTAATAAACTCGAGTCGAGGACGGGCTGGGCAGAGTACAGACGGGTTCATTCTCGACGCACAATCAAGAATTCCGAAATTGAATCCCGGGCAGGACAGAAGTGGTGGGGTACATTTCCTTTCACCTACTGCTTCTGTTCACCTATCAGTGAGTAGGTACTCAGGAGTTAGTCAGCATATTGTGGGGTTGCATCCTTGGCAGGGAAGTAATTTGGCCTTGGTGAGGAGGGACCACGATATAAGCCTAATATGTATGAATATAGTCTGGTTTCCTGTCCCCTGACACAATGAATTATATGTACCCTGTATCACCACATATACTCTGTACCACCACATGTTCTCTGTACCCACACATGGATTCTTTACCCCCACATGTACTCTGCAGCTCATCCTCAAACAGCTGATGGGTATTGGGTAATATATATGAAAAAACAATCAATTTATTATACAGTTCATGCATAATGGGAATGGTCAGTAATTCGGGCTTGTGGAACACAGAGCACAAAGGATGGCACAGAGACCTTGTAGGACTGAGCACACAGTGCTCCAAATTTAGCTAAATCATTTGCTCATAAGGAAGGAATTAATTACCATCTCTGATTGCCTCTGAGGAGCCTCAAGAGTACCAATATTCTGAGAAAATCAAGAAAATATAGTTGACTTGAAGCAACGTTAAATGATGAATAATAATAATTATTAGAATTATTAATTAAAATTATAGTTCACCTATGGTATACATAGGTGGAGCCACCAATGGCTCCTTACGTTAGTATTTTGGATGATTTTAAATCTTAATAATTATGATTGTAGTGAAGTCGTCAGCAAAGATGATAGCTGTTGACGGATGAATACTCTCTTTACTAAAATAGTTTACTCTTTACTGAAAATAGTTAAAACAAGTTATAGTAAGCCTCCATTCTGTGTCAACTAATGTTTCAACCCATGATTTAAGCCACTATTCTGCAGTGCATCCAGTTAAAGGTTAGCACTTAGCAGAAATCATGGTGCTTCTCAGTAAATTATAATACAGTACTCATACATTATTACATGTAATAATGATGCTTTCGCTAAAGCATTATATATTGTTGGACAAACCACACACTAGAAATTGAAAAGACGACGACGTTTCGATCCGTCCTGGACCATTATTTTATATTTTTTTGAGATATATACAAGAGTTGTTACATTCTTGTACAGCCACTAGTATGCTTAGCATTTCGGGCAGGTCCCTGAAATACGACCCCCACGAAGAATTGTTTTTACAACCAAGTACCAATTTACTGTTGAGTTAAACAGAGGCTACAGTTAAGGATTTGCACCCAGTAAATAGGTGGGAGGCCCGGATGGATTTGCGCCCAGTAAATAGGTGGGAGGCACCTCCCCGGCCAGGATACGAACCCAGGACAAAGCGCTCGCGGAACGCCAGATGAGTGTCTTACCACTACACCACAGAGACTGGTAATTATCAAGTCGATTGTCTTGATAATGATTCCACAATCGACTTGATAATAGTCCAGGACGGACAGAAGCGTCGTCGTCTCTTCAGTTTCTAGTGTGTGGTTTGGTCAACATTTTTCAGCCATGTTAAATTCTGATTCTGCTATTGAGTTCAATAGGTTCTTCTCTTCCATTGGGTCATCCCTTGCAAATGACATTCCATCTTCCAGTACTGATGTTAAGGACTATCTTACAGGTAACTATCCACAATCTCTGTACCTAAAGCCTACAAATTCCACTAACGTTAATGAGATAATCCTTTCCCTTAAAACCAAGTCTAGTGCCCTTGAGGAGATACCAACTTTAATTTACAAAAAAGCCTCCAGATCTTTAGCCCCTGCTATTGCATTGCTCTTCAACAAGTCACTTGAACTCCAAACCTTTCCAGACATTCCAAAAAAAGCAAGAGTAACCCCTGTCCACAAATGTGGTGATCTCACAGATGTTAACAACTACAGACCTATATCAATCCTGCCTAACTTGTCAAAAATATTTGAAAAACTAATCTACAAGCAGCTTTACTCTTATCTAGCCAAACACAATATACTTAGCTCTTGTCAATATGGCTTCAGACCCCCAAAAAGCACTAACGATGCACTTATTAGTATGATTAACTTGATTCATGCAGCTCTTGGTAAAAATGAGTTTCCTGTTGGGTTATTTGTGGACCTGCGTAAGGCTTTTGACACTGTCAACCACCAAAACCTTCTTCTTAAATTACATCATTATGGAGTCAGAGGACACTCCCTACAATACCTCAAGTCTTACCATACTGACAGGCTCCAGTATGTTTCTGTGAACAATTCAATTTCTCTCACCCTACCCATCAACATTGGTGTTCCTCAGGGCAGTATACTTGGCCCTCTCCTCTTTCTCATCTACATTAATGACCTTCCAAATGCCTCCCAACACCTCAAACCAATTCTATTTGCTGACGATACAACCTTCATTTACTCCAGTCCTGACCCCCTTGCTCAAAATGCCACAGTAAATACTGAGCTAAATAAAGTCCATCTTTGGCTAACTGCCAACAAACTCACCCTTAACATTGACAAAACTTTCTATATTCTGTTTGGCA